CCGTACCATAACTACGTTCTAGTTGTATTACAGAGTAAAGGATGGTGATAAATTACGTATTCAATATATCTATATTTATAAAAGAGGAAGTTTGTATGTTTAAACCTTATGAGCCCGGACACCGTTGGACCGATTGCCACGAAACTTGGTACATACGTGTAGAATTTAATGGAATAAGTTCATACACCATCAATTTCGTGATCCGTCCAATCGGCTCCGCCCCAGTGGCTCTGTAGTTTCCCCATGTTAACCTTATGAGTACTTATATTTTAATGGAATTAAAGAATCTTAACAGCTGGTTCGACTAAACAATTTGATTCTGTGATGTTCAATAGCATTAACAAGTTAATAGGTTTACCAACAGGGTGCACTACTATTATTTTTTAAGTTAATGACAACAGTTAATTTGCAACCAAAAGGTGACGAGCAAAACCTGGAGGCAAGTGAGCGCAGCGAACGAGCTCCAACCTAAAGGTAAGCAAGCCTCGCAAACGAACTTCAACCAGGACGTGATTGAGCGATGCGAACGAGCTCATCTTGAAAATAAACGAGAATTTAAAAAAAACCACATTAGGACAGGACGACGTTTGTCGGGCCAGCTAGTAAACTATAAGCTATGCCTTAAAAACAATAATTTAATAATCAATGATAATTGGAATAACCCTTATGAAAAAGTTTATATATGGCCATATAAAATTTTTTTTATCTGGTTATATTTGGTTTTGGACCAAATATAACCAGATATGATCATATATGAAATCCCCCATATACGGAAATTTTTTAATAAAAAATATATAAATAAATAAAAAAATTACAATTAAACATATTTTCACATTAAATCTTATAAACTATGCATTAAAACCATAATAAAAATTTTTAATTTGAAAATTTCAAAACAAAATTTTAAAGTTGCCGACTGGGATTCGAACCCGGGACTCCAGCGTGGGAGTCTACCCCTTTGACCACTACACCACAACCGCTTCATATCAAATGTCTTTACAAAACCCATTACGAATAAGAGAAGCTGTATTTGGTCTCGTAAAACAAGATTTTCTTAGTCATTTTATGTCATTTGAAGAATTTTATTATTAATATAGCCTAACTACGTGACATAGATATTTGCAGCTGTTTGATAGCAAAGGTACAATAAATTAATTATTAATATAATATTCTCTTTATTTAGGCCTACTACACTTACAATTTTAAAATTATACGTCAGTTTTAAGATTTTGTTGCGTTATAATAAAATTGTACAATAGATGTATGTACAGGATTGTGTCATCTGGGTTCAAATCTGGATACTTTATTACTTTACTACTAATTACTTTAAATGAGAAATGCCTATATTATCTGCCCCCCACTGTACCACATTTCAACTCAATCAGTTCAGTAGTTTGTGCTTCCGAGAGCAACAAGAAAATACACAAACTAACAAACTTTAAGATTTATAGTATTATATATATTATAAGAAGTGTTTGGGAGTCCAGTTACAAAATCCAAATGTGGCAACTATTCCTTATAATAATTCCAGTTATTGTCAAAAACTCATTTATACATGAGCATAAATGGAAAATTATTATTCCGTATATGAGTAATTTAATTCCATACCTGGGAGTCATATATGGCCATATAAAGACCACCATTCCATATATGGAGGATATTTATGGCCATATATGGGCAATAATTTCATATATAGAAAACATGTATGGCCATATATGGACAATCATTTCATATATAGAAAACATGTATGGCCATATATGGCCAATAATTCCATATATAGACTACATATATGACCATATATGGACACCACCATATATGGATACAACCACATCTGGCCATATCTGCTTCCATATATGTCCATAAAAAACCATATATGGCTTTATGAAACCATATATGGAATTTTGATATGGCCATAAGTAGGCTACCCAGCTCTTGCGGGGACCAATCAGAGAGCAGCATTTCATCCCCACCCCTCCCTAGGCCACGCCCCCTAGCCAATCAGAGCTCAGCATTCCACCTAGGCCACGCCCCCTAACCAATCAGAGCTCAGCATTCCACCTAGGCCACGCCCCCTAGCCAATCAGAGAGCAGCATTCCCCAGCCAATCAGAGAGCAGTATTTCCCTTAAGCCATGCCCCCCTGGTGTCCCACGTGGTCTATCCTCACACGTGTTCTAACCTCACTTTTATTTTCCCGCCAAATAACGAAACCTTAAGCCATGCCCCCCTGGTGTCCCACGTGGTCTATCCTCACACGTGTTCTAACCTCACTTTTATTTTCCCGCCAAGTAACGTAACCTCATCTCCCCATGCAAATATTGTAAATGTGATTGGTAAGGATTGAACCTGTGAACCTCTTAGATCAACGACTAACGCTACTCCCGCTATGATACATCACCATACCAAAAATCAACATTTCACCCCGACCAGAAATAAAACGTTTGGTGATTGGTAAGGTTCGAACCCGTGAACATCTGGCTCATACACAGTCTCATACACAGTCAGCTACTAGAAAGAAACATTATTCAGATTACCAATCATCCCAAAAATACTACACCTAAAAATACTACAAAGTCCAAGTCCAAGTTCATATGATTGTGGCGACTAGCGCCACGTCTGGGGGAAGTGCCTGCTCGCTGGGAGCATATACTTCCGGTCTGCTGTGGGTCCAAGCCCTGGTAGCTCAGCTACCTGTAGACGTCAACGTCGTTCTGGGAGTTAGTCGTCGATCCGGGGGCGAAGCTGGGGAACATCCTCAGCGACCAGGTCCCTGATGTGTTCCCACGGAGAGTCATCCGCCGTCTCTTCAAGTCTCGCTCGAAGGCCGTCTACGAAGTCTCGGAGAGTTGTCACTGCCGTGGAGTCCCTGATGACGGAGTTCCTCACGTACCAGGGTGAATCTGAAATGTAAGTTTAACATCGAACATATTGGTGGCCTTTACAAAGGCCGTTTTTTATGTTCAATGGTAAAGTTCCGTTTAAGCCTTCTTTCAGTTGTTTTTAACATTGGATACGTGAATTATCATTTGTTTTGTCATTTTTATTGACTGCAGTATATTATAGGTATGTGTAAATAAATCTCAGCAAATATTGTGATTGGTAAGGATCGAACCCATGAACCTCCGGCTCATATACAGCTTCATACACAGCCAACTGCTAGAAAGAAACATTATTCAGATTACCATCATCCTAACATTACATAACATCTATGAAATGTTGATTTAACGTTCAACATTTCGTGGCCTTTACAAAGGCCATTTTTTATTCTCAACGGTAAAGTTCCGCTTAAGCGGTTTTTCAGCTGTTTTTAACATTGGATACGTGAATTATCATTTGTTTTGTTATTTTTATTGACTGCAGTATTATAGGTATATGTAAATAAGACTCAGCAAATATTGTGATTGGTAAGGATCGAACCCATGAACCTCCGGCTCATATACAGCTTCATACACAGCCAACTGCTAGGAAGAAACATTATTCAGATTACCATCATCCTAACACTACATAACATCCATGAAATTTTGATTTAACGTTTTAAAATTTGGTGGCCTTTACAAAGGCCGTTTTTTATTCTCAACGGTAAAGATCCGCTTAAGCGTTTTTTGTGCTGTTAACAAGATGCTGCTAACATTGGATACGTGAATTATCATTTGATTCGCTTTTGTTATGGACTACAGCATGTAGAATTTTATAAAATTAAATAAAAATTTAATGTTTTTTTCTTGGATAATTATACACATTGCTTAGTATATAATGGTTTTAATACTATGGTTTAATACTATCTATCTACGATTTAAATTTACATTTCTCTATCTAAAAATTAGTAATGTCTAGGAAGAATTGGTGGTCATTTGTAAAGTTTTGTTTAATGGCTATTACTAATACCTATTAATTTACATTAATCTAAAAAGTTATTGCAAACATTATATTTCTACAAATTTTCTTCTTCTTCTTCATCATCATCACGGTTCTGTAACAAAACAAGGAAGTGTTAATTGTGTGTATCCTGGTTGCTGATTGGTTGTAATAAGCTTGTACGTGATTGGTCATAAATAGGTAATCTGTTGTGTGATTGGTCAATTTTTGCTATTTATACTTTTCAGTACTAATTTTCTTTCACTTTGCTTTTGGCAGTTGAACGTGTTGGATGTGTGCTCTTGTGTTTGACGTTTTGAGGTTATGTTTGCAAGTTATTTCTAGTGTTAATGTTAGTCTGATTATTTATTGTGTAGTACATCAGTTTTATAGTAAGTGAACATTGTTTCTTTTGTGTAACGTGTTGTGCAATCAGTGTGTTATATTAAGCTTTGTGTGCGCGCAGCTGTGCCCCCACCACATCTTGTGTCCCTGTGTTGTATTGTGCAATCCGTGTGCTATATTTAGCTGTGTGCCCCCACTAGAACTAGTGTATCTGTGTCCCTTTCACTTTGCTCTAGGCATCTGACTACGATGGATGTAAGTATGGCTGATAATGTATCCGATGAAGTAGTTGAACCCGTTAAAGTAGTTGAGCCTGTTACTTTGATTAGTACTGATCAAACTTATGTAAATAAATTTAGATTGTATGGAAGTAAAACAGTATTTAAATTCACTAATCCGCCTCCAGAGACTAATGAGATTGATTGGTTGAGACAAGGGTTTGCGCAAATTGTAAATAGTATGAAAGAACAAGCATTTGAAAACGATCAACTTGGGTTTACTCTACAAAGTCTCAACTTGAAATCAAAAGCACCTGGCTATGTAAATTTTCGTCCGTCTACTGAAATTGATGAAAATGTTTTGTGGCAAATCTTTGGTGGTATTGTGCAATCAAACTCTGAATCCATCAAATCTACCGACACCTTTAAAGTGGAATGCACTAGAATTAATCTTCCTGTAGGTTCTGGGAGAGTAAGGCCTGGGTTTTACAATACGTTTGATGAGGAATGCAAGTCAAGACGGGGAATTGTTATCATTAATAATAAAGATAAATTGTGTTTACCCCGTGCAATTGTAGTGGCTATGGCCAATGTAACCAAAGACCCCCTTTACAATGCAGTTAGAAAAGATGATGGGAAAAGACAGACTGTTAGGGCTCAGGAACTTGTGTGTCGAGCCAGGGTTGAAATGCCAAAGGGTGGAGCTGGGATCCCGGAACTTGAAAAATTTCAGGGGTTTTTGAGAGACTACAAAATTGTCGTGTACAACTATGACAGGAAAGGACGTGATGTCTACTTTGAGGGAAATGTAGAAAACCCCAAGTTCAAAATTAACTTGATTTTTCACAATGGACACTACAATGTGATTAATTGTTTGACTGCTGCTTTTGTTTGTAATTATTTCTGTGAAGCCTGTCATGTACCCTACGACCATAAAAGAGAGCATCGTTGCTCAAACATTTGCCCACAGTGTCAAACTATCTCACCTCCTTGTGTAGTGGAGAGTGGTGGTGTTCTGTGCCCTAAATGTAACATGACTTATAAAAATCAGAGATGTTTTATCGCGCATCAAGCTGATAGATGTAAAAATGTAAAAAAGTGTCTAGACTGTGGGAAATTGGTTTGGATTAGAGATCGGTCTAAGCCTCATAAATGTGGTGAAGTATATTGCAAACCTTGCTGTTCATTTGAAGACCCTAACCACAAATGCTATATGAAACCAGACACAAGAAAGCCTAAATCCAAAAACTTTTTGTTTATTTTATTTGACTTGGAAACCCGTCAAGATGAGTCCCTGCCCTCAGATCCCGAGTCTAAATTGCATCAAGTGAACTTGTGTGTGTCACAACAGTTTTGCTATCAGTGTATTGAGGCTAAATTTTGTATGGCTTGTAAAAATCGTACGCGAGTGTTTAGTTCTGAACCAATCACTCAGTTCATGGACTATGTGATGCAAGTCCGTAAAAATTTTAAAGATGTCTGTGTCATCGCACACAATGGGCAGGGCTTTGATTTCCAGTTTTTGCTCAAGTATGTGCTGGAGGATACGAAGTTCACTCCGAAACTTGTAATGCGGGGAACTAAGGTAATTTTGATGGAGATTGACAATGTGAGGTTTGTTGATTCACTTAGTTATTTCCCTATGCCTCTTGCTGCACTACCTAAAGCCTTTGACCTTCCCCCGGAAAAGAAGAAAGGCTATTTTCCCCACCTCTTCAACACCCTTAAGAATCAAAATTATGTGGGTCCTATGCCGGCAAAGGAGTTTTACTGCCCAGAATCTATGTTTGAAAAATCACACAAAGATTTTGAAAGATGGTATAATGATCAGGTTGGAAACCACGTTACATTTGACTTTAAGAAAGAAATCCTAGAGTATTGTATGTCGGACGTTGATATTTTGGCTCAAGCTTGTTTAAAGTTCCGTTCAATTTTCCTGCAAGAGTGTAATGTGGACCCGTTTCTCGAGGCTGTAACCATTGCCAGTGCTTGTAACTTGGCCTTCCGTCGGAAATTTTTGAAGAAAAATACCATCGGCATCGTTCCTAAAAATGGCTATAGGCTTACAGACGCCCAATCGGCAATCGCGTTACAGTGGCTAACGTGGGAAGAGGAGAAACGTGGAGTTAGAATAGAACACGCCGGCCGTGGAAAAGAAGTTAAGATTAGTGGAATGAAAGTTGATGGTTTTGACGGTCAAAATATTTATGAATTTCAAGGCTGCTACTGGCATGGCTGCCCTAAATGCTTTCCCTATGATCGTGAACTTGCTTTGAAAGAGGATCCCTCTGACTCACTCCATTTGCGGTATGAACGGACCAAATCGAAAATAGCAAAGTTGGGTGATAACGTTGTACAAATGTGGGAATGTGAGTTTAAAAAGTTAAAAAAGACAGAAAACCTGAAACACCTAGAAAAGTTGCCGATCCTCAACAATTTACCTCTGAATCCGAGGCAAGCATTTTTTGGGGGCCGAACCGGGAATGCCAAAACCTATCACAAATGCGCCGAAGGGGAAACCATTGAGTATGTGGATGTATGCTCTCTCTATCCCTGGGTATGTAAATATGGCAAGTACCCTGTAGGCCATCCAACGATCTATGTAGGAGACAAAGAGTGTAGACAGAGAGGTCTCAATGTTGAGGGTCTATTAAAGTGTAAAGTACTTCCACCTCGTGAGCTCTATCACCCCGTTCTCCCAGCCAAAATGAATGACAAGTTAATGTTTGTTTTGTGTGCGACTTGTGGAGATGGTCAGATTCAAACTGATTGCGACCACGAAAGTGGTGACAGAGCACTTATTGGGACCTGGACCATGGACGAAGTTCGTAAAGCTGTAGAAAAGGGTTATGTTGTGCTTGACATGTATGAACTTTGGGAGTATAAGGTAGCCACATATGAAAACGGGGGATTGTTCACTGACTTTATAAATAAATTTTTAAAAATGAAACAGGAAGCAACTGGGTTCCCTAGTTGGTGTGAAACCGAGGAAGATAAGGATCAGTACGTTGACGATTATTTTAAAAATGAGGGTGTCCAACTGGAAAAAGACCAAATTATCAAGAATGGTGGATTGAGGTCGTTAGCTAAACTGATGTTGAACTCTTTTTGGGGAAAATTTGGACAGCGTGAAAATCAGACCAAAGCTACAATCGTCAGGGACCCTAAAACACTTTTCAAAATGTTAACTAGCCCTGAAATAGATGTAAATAGAGTACAGATTGTCAATGATAAGGTTCTTGTTGTCAGCTGGGAGTATATTGAGGAGGTTGGGGAGCCATTGCAAAATGTAAATGTTGTGTTGGCAGCTTACACCACAGCCCAAGCGAGATTGAAGCTCTATGAGCATCTAGATGCCCTGGGTGGTCAGGTATTGTATTATGATACTGATTCTGTACTATATGTATATAAGGGTGGTTTGTACAGAGTCCCCACGGGAGATTATCTAGGGGAAATGACCGATGAGTTGGCCGAGTACGGCCCTGGATCATATATAGTAGAGTTTGTTTCTGGAGGTCCGAAAACCTATGCATACCTTGTGTGGTCAACAAACAAACAAAAATTGATTCCCGTATGTAAAGTAAAAGGGCTTACATTAAACATGAAAACTTCTAAAAAGATTGGATTTGACAGTTTGAAAGAGATGGTCCTTGGTGATGCTGCACAAACAATGGACATTGAGGAAAATAGAATCAGACGAACAAAGAATAGGAACATAGTTACAATCAGTGAAGTCAAACAGTTTAAAATTACGGGACCAAAGAGGAAACATAGTAGCAATTATGATACACTTCCATATGGGTTTAAAATTCAAAAAACTCACCAAAATCTCAACTCCTAAATCATCACTATCACTCAAGTACTCCCAGTCCCCAACATCCACCTCGTTCCAGCCATTCCACCCTCCTTGCTACCAATTAAACCCAAATACCGAATCTGTGTCTTCGTCTTCTTTTTCTTCGCTTAAATTTAAAAATTAACAAATCTTACACCATAAATAATTTTGAATGAAATCATTTACAACCAACACTAGAGAGATCATGTTGGACACTGAACACATGTTGCACATGCTGCACATGTGTAGCGCTCCCCTCTCCACTATCGCTACACACCTTAATGGCGACATACGCAGTTTTTCTTGGCGGTAACGGTGGTGGCCTTAGATCCAGGGGTTGAAGTTCTTCGTATATTGGCTCCACCGGCTCGCGTTTGATGGAAAACACCCACCCGAAACATGATGCGAAGCACATGGTGACTGAGATCCAACTGGAGTGGGGCTATTTTTAAATCTGTTTGTACATTGAGGCGCTCAAATCTGGAGGGACTTGGGCTACTCCTTGTGCATGTGTGAATGCTATTGGTCACTGGCGCGGCCGACTAAAAAGCCCGTAAACCACGTGTGGAGGTCACTGGCGCGGCTGACTAAAAGGCCCGTAAACCACGTGTGGAGGGGTAAGTGTCATTCCACTTGGAACCTTTACACCACCATGTTGTACCTACTCGAGTTTTCAGCTAGAACGATTACTGATAATCTGTTTCTTTTAAATACTGTAAAGCAAGCAGCAATCCCACCTATGATTAAAGATTAAATATTCAATTACCACCATGAAAACTGCGGCTATGTCTACTACCATATTTGTTTTTTCGACAATGAAGAGTTTTGTAAGGATTTTGGAGAGGCAGCGAATATTTCTTTCCGATGGTTTGGAACGATTGTATGTGTACCAAAATTTAAAACTCCAAGAGATAGATGCACCGTTTGTGCAGCACGTCTATACAAATGGACCAGATTGAGATGTTCCTGTTTACAATCCATGATCCCATCCTTGAGAAGGTGGTAAGAGACGTTTTGGGGGAACGGAGACGGCAACTAGTTTGTTTTTGGAGGCCATCACGAGCTGTTGCGGTGGAGGGGCCGCAGCTTTTCTGGGGGCAAATAAAAAGATAGTCTATTCTATTTGGAACATTCTTACCATCATGTTGTCCCTGTCCGAGCTTCCAATTAGAAAGATTTACACAACCGTCATCCTTTTACTTTATGTAAAAGAAAGTGTTGATCTTCCATCAACGCTATGGCAGGACATTTTGAACTATCATAAAGAAAACTGTGGTTATGTAACCCTAAAATACTACGAGTCTTTTCGAGGCTCTAGTAGGTTATGTATTGACTGTGGAAGAATGGTTGATCTTCCTTCTCACTTAAGGCGAAGAGACATATAAGGCGATACATGTATCCAAAGTTTAAGGTACCAAAAGAAACATGCCGCATTTGCATGGCTCCTTTATTTATCTTCCATAAAGTCACTTGTAAATATTGTAAAATCTAAATGTAAAAATAAGAATAATAAACGGAGATGGCAACTAGTTTGTTTTTGGAGGCCATCACGAGCTGTTGCGGTGGAGGGGCCGCAGCATTTCTAAAAACTTAATAAGTTATCAATACACTGTTAAGTTGTATCATTTTAACAATGGATGTCAGACGTGCTATAGCTGAAGAGCTACACAAACCTGCTATAAAGAATTACACTAGACGGAAAGTGACTCTTAAAGGGTTGAATGATTTGTACCAGGCCGATCTCGTAGAGATGCAGCCTTATGCAAAGTTAAATAAAGGTAATCGGTACATAATGACTATGATTAACTGTTTTTCAAAATTCGGTTTTGCAGTCCCGTTAAAAGATAAGACAGGTCCAGCAGTTGCCAAGGCACTTGAACCTATATTGATCAAACATAAGATGAAACACTTTCAAACCGATCAGGGAACCGAATGGTTTAATAAACATATTGGTGCTCTCATGAAAAAGTATAGAATTAACCATTATTCTACGTTTTCCGATTTAAAAGCTAGTATCGTGGAGAGATTTAACAGAACTTTGAAACAGTGGATGTGGAAAGAGTTTACCGCTAAGGGAACATATGAATGGTTATCATTACTTCCTGATATTCTCAAGCGATATAATAACTCGGTACATAGAACAATTGGTATGAAACCAAAAGATGTGAAACAAAAGAATGTAAAGGAAATATTAAAAAGGATAAACAAGAAGGGAAAAAGGGTGGCACCAAAATATAAACTGGGAGATAGTGTTAGGATAAGCAAGTATAAAAGAGTTTTCACTAAAGGCTATCTGCCAAACTGGACAAACGAGGTTTTCACCATTTACGCAATCAAACCGACAAAACCACCTACATATGTACTCAAAGACCATAATGGTGAAATACTAAAGGGAGGGTTTTATGAACAAGAGCTAAATAAATCAAAGACCGGAAATGTATATTTAGTTGAAAGAGTGTTACAACGGAAAGGAGATAAAATAAAAGTCAGATGGCTTGGCTTTGACAAGAAAAGTGACACGTGGCTTAGTAAAAGCGACATTCTTATTTAGAACATACATCCGGTGACGGCTACATGTAGATCAAGCAGCTGCATCCGGTCGTATTTATAAACGATAGGGTGAGTGTGCTACAATCAGTTGAACACGATGGGTGTGGCGCAGCAGAGCCCCCCTTTGACGTTAAGAAACTATGACAAGTATTTTGGTGAGGGCCATCTGTTACTAGACTTAATTTGCTGCTCCTTTCAGTCCCCAGCAACTCGGGTAAAACTAATATTGTGTTTAATTTATTATTCGATTCAAATGGTCTTCTTTTTAAAAATATCTACATTTTTGAAAATCCCTTAATCAGTCTAAATACCAGTTTTTACCGTTGGCTCTGCCTAAGGAAATGGGCCATTTTGCATATGGTGACAACAACTTGGTAGTTCATCCAAGTAAGACTAAACAGCATTCAAAAATGATATTTGATGATATATACTGTGAGAAACACGACAAATAATAAATAAATTATATAAATAAATTGGCTCAAAATTATTTTCAAACCACCTTATAGTACTGTATTACAAATTTAAATGATAAAATGCAAAGAACCGCTCGCTGGGATTCAAAAAAGGGTTAATTAATAGGCTTCACCAAGTAAATAACCCATTACATTAGTCAAAGGACAAAAAAGTGGGAGGTGGCAAATCTGTTATGGAGTGGCCATCACCGTAGGCTGCGGTGGTTGGGGCAGCCTACCCCAGAGGTTAGGACTCTTGGTGAAGCTCTGGGTTAACAAAAAGAACGCGCCGGGACCCTACGGCCTAGCCTAACAGCTTACCGTGGTGTGGAAACTGGGTCACTTGTCTAAACTCCAAAGAACAGGTAGAATCTCTCCACAAACGAAACATTTGAGTTTGTCAAAGTCCAGATCACGGATATTTGTAACAAACCAGCCGCATGGTTCATCAGCATCATCAATAAAAAATGAATTACACACTCTAGATCAAATAAATTTATCGAATATTGGTTTTTTCTTTATTTTTTGACGTTTTAAGCTTCAATTTTGAAGTTGCAAAAATACTAATTATATAATTTAAATGAACATTTTTGTAATGTCACTCTTCTTCATATTTAATCACAAATCCTTCCATCTTCAGTTTATTCACTCACAATAAATCATTAGCAAAACTAAGTCAGCTGTTATAAACTTTAGAAATATTGTTGTGCCTTATCAATCGTCTTTTGAGATATTAAAGAAACTATATCTAGGCCCTATGCTATAAAAAAACTTTAAACAAATATAATTTACATTAAAGACAGCAGACAAAATGATTACCAATGAATACAATTCAAAGGTAATTGCATTACAATCGGCTAACTAATATTACAGGTAGAGGAATTTACAAAATCAGTTAATAGCTTACCTGTTGCATTCCTCCCTGAATATTGTTGTTAACGGGACTCTTTCGACTTTGCATCGATCTAAAATACACTGCCTCAGCTTTACACTTTCTTCGTAAATCATATCCGGTTCACATCCGTCCGAGTGCGTTGCAGTTGAAGACTACCGTTCACTTTAATTAATTTCGCCCCCCCTTTGCAAAGCCTTGTTTTGCAACGCACATATGACAAATTGTCATTTTTTTCACATATTTTGCATAATAATATCCATCACCAATGTGAAACAGTTTACCACCCATCAACCCGTCGCACTCGAGCACCTCCGGAAACTCTATCGGATTCATTATTCACTTTATTCCAAAAACATAAATCGCAATAGCGGACACCAACTTACACGGTCAAACTCAAGTGGTAGACTGACTAGTTTACCAAAGCGTCAAATTCGACTAAACAAATTTTATATTTTGGATAGGAAATAAGAATAATACTGTGACAGAAGTTAGTGCTCAAAAGTCTATAAATTTCCTGGGAAACGGAAGCTATATGCGTTCCCACGCATGATGCCTTTTAATGCTAGTGGGACGATTTTTGCAGATGACTCTTATATAATAATTATATTGAAACTGAATTTACACTACACATAGGTTGTAAACTTAAAGGAATTGTTCAAACTATGCTATTTTACTAACTTCAATGCATTTTTCAAAGCGGTTTTTTACAATTGTAACTATATATTTGCATAGATTTTAATTGTTGTTTCAAACTTCAAATTCTCTTGCAAATTGATTGGCCCTCAAGGTCCTGCGATCTTACACCGTTATATTTTTCTGTTTAGGGGATCATTAAAAATAAAATTTTTGCCGAACAACCCCTAGATAATGTCGACATTAATTTTGCAAGAAGACTCAATATTTAAAACTAGTGTCCCTGTTGCTCGAATTCGAGCAAATGCTAAGTATTAAAGGCGTTATTTTAAAACGAATAACAGTCATAATTTCTGACGAATGTAAAAAAGATTCGACTCAAAGATTTTGGAAATACTCATGATGTAGCTACATAACATATCGATATAATCTCTGTAAATATCTTATCATTTGTCAAAAGCTAATCTTTTTTTAGT